GCTTCTATAAATGCCATTTAGCTAATAAAAAAATATCCCTCTATACTCCCCCCCCCACCCCTTTCACCAAAATTGATTTAAATAAATAAATATATGATATTAGCATAAAATAATCAATATAATTAAGCATTTTCTATAGTTACCCATTAATTTCTTTTTTCCCTACTAAAAATTACCTTATCAAATTTTAAAATCTGAAATATTCAAGAAAAATTGTGATCACACCAAAAGCTTGTAAAAATAAGCTAAAATCTTTCTAATAAGGAGAGGAGGGGCACTCAAAACTCTTTCTCTTGACAAAATTCTGTCTACTTCTTTATAAATGCATAAATATAAAAAATGTACTTTTTCATGATACAAGACCCCCCCCCCTCCCTTGCCTCCATTGTAAGAATCTCTGATATGTGATGTCAAATAACAGTTATGTTTTGTAAAAATATAACAAATCAAGATATTAATATTAGAATAAATAATAGAATTAAATATATAATATCCAGAAGCTGATAACTTGCAGTCCATGAAAACATTCAAATCATATAAAGCATAATTTGTCGAATTTATTTCCCGATTAAAAACCATAAAATTAAATAATTTAGATTTACATTTCATCATGAAAAATTTATGATCACAGATATATTCTTTTAAAAGATGATCAAATTGTCAGCTTATTAACACTAAAACAACAAAAACTTTTATTTAATAAATATAATTATTTAAAATTTATTTATAAGTTGTCCTAAGTTGATATTAATAACTGAATCCTAAACTAGACCCATTATGAAAACTTTAAACATATAGTGAAAGTCAAATATCTGTCTTTAATTTATGGAGCACAGCGCCTCCCAAAGACTCTCTACCTTGGACAAGACCTGTTCACATCCACCCTATCTTAATTTTCCTGTTCCAATAATTTTGTAATAGAAAATAATTTTTTTTTAACCTGATATTCTCAAGTTGTACAAAATTCAACCCTTGCCATAATTGTAAAATTTAAAAAATTATGATGTATTCAATCTCTGAGCTGAACGTGACAATATCTTGAACAGACGATGACCTTCTAAATCAAGCAAGTTATTATGGCTTTTTAAAAATTCGTTCATGCTATTTTGTCAAAAAATTAACAAAATCTTATTGCACCAATTAAAAAACTTAGCCCCATATCAAAAAATAACTTAAACTATATCACGAGTTTAGGAATTAAGGAGAACTTATTGATCCACTGTAAAACGTTATTTTTTAAAAAATATCATTGCAATTCGCAGCAGTAAGTTTTGAAATGCTATTTTTTCTCTCTTATATATTTATTACTTATTTTTACATCCGCATAACATATACGTATACAAATAATGTAAAACAACTTTTTAAATTAATATTTCTATTTAATTTAATATAACTTGGTTAATAAATCTTAAATTTATTCATTAATTAAATAAAATGCATATATAATATTAGATTGTTCAAGTTATCTTTCGTTTTTCTTTTACAAATAATTTATTTTGAGGAGAACGTTGACATTTGACATCAAATTAATATTTTCATATTACTTTTTACCGGCAATGTACGTAATCAGAGAATACGTGTTTTGCCGTGTAAAAATCTTACAAAATAGGTATTACTATTCAAGTTGGAATACATTTCCGGTAATATTTTTAAATTTTCTAAAAACGCGTAAATTAATAATATAAAGTAAGTTAGGAAATCACATCTATACATTTCCTGCAATTTGATCATAAAGTTATGCATCATTTTAAATTTATGTATAACCTTACAATATACAGGTTATACCCTGAGGATTACTTTAAGCAGCACATCTTCTTTATTTCTCAGATCTTATGATCTATAATTGAACTTAACCCGCCCCTAATTTTCGATTTAAGATTTTTGTCCATTCCTTTCCAAGAAAACTGGCTAATTTTTTAAGTCTCTTCCATTTTTTATATTTATATGATACTTTTTTTAAAAAAAACGAATAAAACTTTTATTGATTAAGAAATATTAATATTATTTGTAATGTAAGCCGCATGTTTAACATAACGAATTTTCGAAAGAAAATTCTACTATTTTGTAATATCGTTTAAGTTTAAGATATAGTTTGTCTGCCAAAATATAATTGGTTTTTTTTATTAATTTATTCTAAGGGGATATATTTTATTATTTTGAATTCAAATATTTTGTAACTATAATTTGATGTTTTTTATGAATTTTATAAGTATTTATTATTTTTATTTTATAATGTTATTTTAAATATTTTACTATAAAAAGACTTTATTTTTTTGCTTTTATCTAAATTTGGATCTATATCTGATCGATTTTTTAAAAAAAATATCTATTCATTATATTTTATAATGATGTCATAAAATAAAGAGAAGAAAATCATTTAATTCAAAAGTACAGATCTAACAATGTCCTATATAATATGACTAATTATTCTATAGAAGGTTTTGATAATAATTTAGTGCCCAACTCTCAACATGGCATTCAGTCTGGGTGTTTTGATAGGTATGTTCTATGTTGTCTTATTGTTTATTGTGCATCTTAGTTTGAATATTATAGGGTTTTAATTTCACTTTTTAGTGAATATATTATCCTTCGTTGTAAACCATTTTTTTACATTAAAAAAAATAACATGGTGTTTTTTTAAAAAAAATCGCTCTACAGTAAAATGTGTCATCGGTTCCATTCTTCTTTTAAATAAGCATTTTGACTTTTTACTAGTATTTTTTTTCTTCGTTTTTTTAGGATTCTAAATAGAGCTGTGTAAATATAGAATGCGATTTTTATAGACTTAATGAAATTTTAAGCATATTTTTTAAAGATATCATCACCCTAATTTTATGCCATAAAATCTATTTTTTTAAAAATATTATTTGATAAATGAGTGGAAAAAGGATGTCCTAGCTGTTTTACATTTAAGACATGTTAGGACATGATCTTAGTTTTTTTTAAATATCACAAAAGTGTCAACTTTTTTTTGAAACAATAAATATACATATAAATTAGTTTTAAACTTTTGTGAAACTCGATTCCCTTGTTCCCTAAAATTCTAAAATAAAATTCTGATTTCAGTTTTTAAATACTTTAAAAGGAAATTCCGGTTTTCAAAAACTCGTCATGACCATTAAATATTAAAAAATTTGACACTAACAACTCCACTTCATTTTTTTTTAAAATTTACCATTATCTGTTACTTCAGTGGCATTTTCTAATTACATTTATCCATTTGGCAATGCTAAAATGCCAATTTTTATTTATAAGGGTGCTAAAATAATGTTTTATGCTCAAATAGAGAATATTTTGAATAAGGCATGTTAAACACCGCTTTTGTTCTTTACAAAAAACACTATTAACGAACTTCTGATTTATAATTGGTTTAATTTCAACATTTATATACCAGATAATCTTTCCTATTTTTATAACTACTTTAAATATATCAGTATAAGTGGTAATTACAATTATTCGCTTTATCAGTCATTTTTTGGGGGCTTATTTTTTTAACATATGAATTTATCGTTTCCTTTTTAAAAATTAAAAATCCCTTATCTTATTAATTATAGAAATAGTTTCAAATTTGGAAAAATATAATATAAGCTTGTTAAAAAAATCTATATTGATTTTGATCTTTTTCATAAAAATTTTGAAATCTGATGGATATTAAATTTCATTTCCGAATTTATTTTTTTTTGCTAAAATTAATTGTATTATCAAAATTATGTTTGTAGTGTTGTTAAGAAGCCCGATTCGGGTCTATTTTTATCACTAAGTGTTTGGTTAAACGGCTCTATTTCGTCAAATTTAAATTAAGAATTTAGCCAAAATAATATTACTCAAGCTTCGAGATTTCATTAATAGATATGTCCAAAACCTATCTGCCATCTATGAGCAAAATCTCCAGACTCGTTTTTAAAAAATCGAGCCGTTTAACACACTAATCAGGATGCCTCCAGTTGAGGGAGGAAATATCTATAAACAAACTAGAAGGACGAATCGAAATTTATCAAAAAATCATCAGCGTAATCGTTCAACTGGTAACTTACGATAATGGAATTGCATGACACTGTAGCCATATCGTTTCATAACTATGAACGATATACTACATATAAGAGTAAGGTTTCGTTTATAGTAACCGCGCATCGCGTGGTATTTTAACAAAAGTAAGGAATTAATAGGTGAAATTTATAATGACTGCTCGATGCGATGAAATGAATCACAATCGTTATAGATTATGAATTTTACCTCATATTTTTTGATTGCTTTGAAAAATATCCAGCGACGCGTAAACGAGGCATAACCATGCATTCGCAGTTACCGCGAATTAAATACGCAAAATACAACTTATTTTTTATAATTCGCCGCGAATTCACGCTAACTATGGATGAAAGGTAACGCTGTATTATAGTCTATTCATCATTTAACAAGAGAGAAAAACTCATACCTATAAATCATTTTTCTTTGTTCTTATATCGATTTTTCTTGGCAAATTGAATTTTTTTTATAGGAAACGAATTATTTAAATAAAATACTAAAACAACTTTCAAATAAACACTGAAAAATTTTAGTTCACAACTCGTTTTTTATATTAAACTTCTCAATATTTTATAAAAACTCCCCAAATTATTAATATAAATACTGCCCCCCCCCTAATAAATCATAGCTATTAATAAATAATAAAATTATAAGATATGAACCAAAATGGAATATTCTTGATTTGTAACAAAAACGCCATTTTGAAAGTTTCAACGGAATTTTTTAGGCTTCTTAATTTATTTTATTTTTGTAATATAAACAATGATTCCGCTTTTTCCTTCTTTTTTTTAAAAAAAGAAAGAGACCTATCCGTCTTTAGAGGCTTATCTTATACAAAACGCTGACCTTGGCGATAGACTTTTGATCTCTTCTATTTTTTTAATATTTGAAAAGAATGGAAAAAATTGTGATGATAAATTGCGATTTTTTTAATATTAAAATATGTTAAAAAATTTTAAAAAAATACTATAAATATATTTTAAGAAAAATAACAATTAATACCCCAGCCACAATATTTAAACTTAGTACAGTATGCATAATTTCTCTTTCAGATTGGACAAAACTCTGACAGCGCCACCATATCCCCTTTGGAGTTTAATCACTCAAACACAGTATATTTTAAAATATTTGCTTAACCATTTTGTTAAAATTAATTTTTTTTTTTTAAAAAAGACTAAATTTTATTATATTTTATTTTTCTCTTAACCTTTTATATGTTCATATTGGGGTATGAGAAAATCTCTCGATTTTAAGTCATTCAAAGAGCCCTTTTTAAATTTTAAATAACGGATTTGAATGTATTATTCAAATTTTGCCGTGAACTTTAGAACTACTTCCGATTAAATTGGATTTTTATCTCCCCCTGTAAATGATCTAAAATCGGGAGATTCTGAATCCCCATGGATTCCATATCCTAGAATACGGATACATATATTCGTTTTCTTTTAAAAAAATACAAGCATATTACTTTTATATCTAACCAATTATTACTAATCGCATAATTATTTTTTTTAGTGCATAACAAGTTAACTTCGTAAAAAAAGACTTCATGGTATACGAACACTTATTTTCTATTTCGCGCAATCTCTAGTACCATAGAAGACGGAAAGATTGCTATTAGTTTATAATATCTCTTAATCGCATAATGACCTTTTTTTTAAGAAAAACTTGGGACTTTTTTAAATTTCAATGCTAACTGGATTGATATAGGACATTATTTTTGAAAAAATGACACATGACTTAAAAAGAGCTTATTTTTGATAAAATTAACGAACCCTGCTTTTTGAATAAATAAAATTAGAGTTCAATTAATATTACTAATCCCGATTATATTATGTAACCTATAATTTAATATTTTATAACTAACTTGCCATCTAATTTTTTAAAAAAATTTATTTCGAATATGTAGCCCTCATTTATCAAAGAGATTTAGCTTAAAATATGCTTCATCGCCTATTATACTCAAACAACATTCAACATATCCTCGGAAACCGACGTTAAAATTTAAAGATGTTTTCAAAAAATGGGATGGCAAGAAATATTTTATGGCGAAATCAGGCACATATAATCGTGATCTCGATGATCACCGTTACAGTTCTTTCCCATCTTTAGCCCGTTTTAATATTCAACATAACCAATACGGTTCGCTTCGCAGATCTTCCTCTATACCTAGCAATCTATTTTGGCAGAAGACTTTAAATATACTCAGCAATTTTAAAAGAGTTTATCTGTCGGCTTTCGATAAAAATTCGAAACATAGTGACTATTGTTACTCATTGGATAACGCTATTAACGATTCCAAACTACGTAGCCAGTTGATCAACATGATAAGAACGCCTAGTATTAACGACACTTCGCAAACGGGTGATTTGGGAGACCGTTCTTCCTTAATATCCCCAGAAAATTTGCAATTAGTTGACGGTGAACATTTAGATTCACTTATAATGGGCTCTAGTACAATTAAATCATTGGATAAGCTAAATTATGATCTCAGGATCCCGATGTCAAGTGATCACAACAGAAACTCGACACCCATCATTGAATATGGTACGAATGGTTATGCCCAAAGTCGAAATTTCGCGGATATAACTCATAACATCGTGTTTTTAAATCACCCGAATATCACCACCTCGGATAAAATTTCTCCCGGAAACATTTCCTTGCTTTCCGAACCGCTTCAGGATTGTTACTATCATAGCGATGATCCTAACATCAAACTCGACCCCGCCCCTAATACGTTGAATATGTTTCGAGACGAACATGGCCTACCATTTCCGTTCTCACTATCCTCCAGTCATTGTGGTCAGGTATCTCCTAAAATTAGGCCTCGAGCCTTTCTCAGCGAGGGCCACAGTATCTCTCATATTATTAACAAACCCAAAAACTATTCCAAAAAACGTTACCTTTTGAGAAACGATAAAAAAGTTCCCATTATCACTGAACCTTTTTTTTCTAGTAAAAAATTTGATGGTGCCACAAAATCACCTTTGGATTTGAATCTTGCCTCCCTGCCAGATTCGATTAATGAAAACCGGGCATTTATTAGGCGTCAATCCCAACTCTCTATCGAATCGGACCCCGGGTTTCGGTCGTCAGAATTGAGGATTCCCTCAATTCCCGGGCCACCCGGAAATTATCATTCATTGTTTAACATTCCCGAGAGCTTCGCTTACGATGATAATATTATTAGTGAATTGAAGGATCTTAACCGTAAATCTTCCGATACCTTAGAAATTTTTATCAATGGTAATAGCCAAGACAGCACGGATGACTTATCAAACAAAGACGGCAAGGTCGAAATCAAAAACCGTAGTTATCCTACCTTGACACATCAAACCGTTAATAAAGTATCCTTAAATAACACCGCATGCAACGTCAATAATAATCAAAAACGACGTTTTGCCGATGCCCCCGTGCGTTTCTCTCACAAATCGCACGCTACTAGCATGTTACAAAATGACGCCTCGTCCTTTAATAATCGATTTTACGATTCATCATCTCCGGCTTCTTGCAGCATCTTGCTCAACGGTAATAACGAGAATACCTCTCTTATAACCCTTACCGACCCATATTTTCCTCCTGTACCATTGCCTCCCCGTGTTTCTATTTCTAAATTATCTGCTAACCATGCCCCTTGTCCCCCTTGCCAGCTCTCCATACCCAATAGAAATGATAACCAAAGCCCTTGTGAGCCAACTTTCAATGCGCTATTACCCACCATTTCGATAGCTACCCGCTCTTTGTTAAACTCGACCGGTATAAACCTACCCCCTCATTCTAACATAATTACGACCCCTACCTTATCATCAACAAACAGCAGCAATAGTTTGTTTCAAATGCCATGTGACAACAAGAAATATAGGAAAACGTTTTGGGACGTGCTGGCCCCGAGTTACAAAAGTCGAAACGAGGACTTCAAAAAGCTTTTCATGGACGAGACCGAAGAAAACGGTAACGGAATCGAAAACGAGAGACTTCTGGTCGATTATTCCTGCGCCCTGCAGAAGGAGATCCTAATTCAAGGCCGCATGTACATATCCCAATCTTACGTTTGCTTCTACGCCAACATTTTTCGATGGGAGAGCAAGATCAAGATAAGATTCAAGGTTTTTTTTAAATTATATTTTTTTAAAATTATATTTATTTCATATTAAGATATATATGAAATTCTTTGGGATTCATATTTGTACACAAAGGTATAGTAATTTTTTTAATCTAATAAGGTATTTATTCTACACAAATGTCATTGACATATAATGCACATTCATGCATTAAAATGCATTTTGAAGTGCCATTGAATATAAATCAGCAGGTGACACGCCATTTTGGTTTTCATAAAATTTTAATATAAATTGTTTATATTGGAAACCTAAATGACGTACTACCAGTTGATTTATTTTGATACTCATTTTGAATGAATGAATCGTCAGTCTAGGTAATATTATATATCATTGCTCTACCATGTTTAAATACGTTTCCTGTCACCTGAATCGAAATTTATTGAACAGCTCTTATGAAATGACTTAAAATTATTTAGAGATTTCGTATCCTCATAGATTCCATGCTATATTTCAATACATATATATAATATAGATATAGGCAATTTATTTAAGATAATAAAGCCTGTTGTGATTATGATCAGCACAGAAAAGTTATTTGATCGTAAAATATTTTATTACGATATAAACAGGGAGATCCTGCCAATTTTATAATGTTAAGCAAATGGGATGTTATCCTTAAGGTTTCACTACTTCTTTTTCATAAATAGGCTATTAATCACTCTTAACTGGGGGATATGAGCAAATTTATTTATTGTCTTTATCATTACCTTTTTATTATAAAAAAGAGTTTTGGAAATAACATGTTTATCTTATGATTTAAATATTAATTATCTTCATTTAAAAAAAAAAGGTTTATAGTTCCTTTTAATTAAACTAATTATCAAAAATATAATAATAATAAAAATACTTTAAGAGGAATCAAGTATTACATTCATATTTCACTTATAACTTTTAGTTTCTTAAGACTCCATTTTGTTATATGTAATATTAGATTACAAGAAATTTAACGCGCTAGACTCCAATTTGTTATATGTAATATTAGATTACAAGAAATTTAACGCGCTAAAAGCAGGAAGCCCATTTAGATTTGGACTTTTTTGAGCTATAATTTGGAAAATATATGTATTTTTTGAAACTAATTATTTGGCGCCAGACCTGACAACTTCTCTAAAATATTTTGATAGCCCGGGCGGAAATCTTGCGAAAAATTATTTTACGGGCTGGATCGAGAAACCTTTTTAAAAAATCTTAACTTGTAGATTCGGTATATTGAAATTGTTTTTGATTTTCTTTAAAAAAAAATCCCTATATTTCGTCACTGTTTATTACCTTATATTCATGATTTAGTCAAATTCTCTCCACATACCTCTTATAACATCTATTTTACCATCAATCATCATTTCGCACAAAAATAGGATGTTTTATCCGTGAGCAAAGAGAAGTTGGCCAAAATTATTCCCAACGCTTTGACCTTGCAAACTCAGGATGGCTCTAAATACACTTTTGCTTCATTCACATCCCGCGACAAGACTTACCTAGCACTGTTTCGGGCTTGGCAAAACGCCCTTTTGGGTCATCTCCCGCTACCGGCCCCTGAATTGTGGCATTTAGTTCACGAATCATATGGCAATGAGCTAGGACTAACATCTGACGATGACGATTACGTAGATCCGAGGGCAGTCGAGGCTAGAGGTTTAGATGTTCTGGAGACTAGCCAATCGGAAATTAATTGCAAAGAAGTACTTTTTTTTAATTTTTCCTCGTTATTTTCGGTTAAATGTCATTTAGAAATTTATTTATTGGGAAAGATAAGAATAATTTTTATATTTACTTTAGAGAAAATAATAGAGGAATTAATTTAATATAAAAATAATTTGCTTAATTTGAGATAGAATTAAAAGAATCTTTATATAGATGTTTTGTTTTAAAAAATATGATTTAAGAAAATAAAGATTAGAAAGGTCGGGTGATTAGAGTATGATAGTAAATTTTGGGAACAGGATGATATATTATAATGATACAAACACTTCAAGCTTATGGATAGAACATATAACTTTTAATGTTTTCCAATTAATCATTGAGTCTTTGGGCTTGACTCACTGTCTGATTGGGTAAGCCTAAGAGTTATTTCACAAAGCGAAAAGTTGAAAATACAAGGCGAACACTTAAATTATAAATGCAAATTTTTTTTTATATTATAAAATTCTTTCTCTTGAGTTAAATAATATATTTTATTATATTATGTGTCATAATAGGCTATGCTAAAATCCCGAAAAGTATTGATTATTTTATTACTGAATATTTAATTGATATATTCATAGAATTAATTTTTTTTTCAAAGTTTATAGGAGAATTCTATTTTATATTTTAACATTGTAATAATAATAAATTGTCAAGTCTTAAAGTATTTAAAATAATATAATTTATGTTCTTTATTCAAAAAAATTTGTCATTTCAATTTTTATCATTATAATGGATTAAATGAAATTTATTAAATGATTCCGAATTTCATATGAAATTATGAAATTCCACCTAAAATGGATTTAAATATTTTAAAAAAAGTCAGGCTTAGATATAAAAGTGTTGCTTAAATGATAAAGTTTATTCTTTTTTAAATTTAATTAAAATTATTTATTTAAATTCACATTGGTTTTAAAGTTTACGCTATTCCAACCAACCAAAGCTTATATTTTTTATAATCAATTAGCTTTAACAAATGATTCAACTTTTTAAATAAGAAAATCTTAGATGGCGATGTTTCTAATAATATAAAGTAAAAATGAAGAATTATCTTTTTAATTATAATACCTAAAAATTTCTATGTAAGTTGTAAATTTGATATTTAAAATTAAATTAACATATTTCAACTGGGGCGAGAGTCTCCCTACCTCGATAAAGTCGCCTATGCGATTTAATACAAATATTTATCCCCCCTCCCCCTTGGAATTTATTTTTATGATAAAATAATAACCCATAAACATGCAAACTTTTTAAATTCTGTTTCATCATCAAATAGAAATGAAGAAAAAAACTCATACATAGGTAATATTTTAAAAGGTGATTATGTGCCTTTATCATTTGCGTTTGCAATAAACCAATCCTAATATTTATATTGTCAGGATTTTAATTACAAAATTTAACGTTTCTTATTTTCAATACCATTGAAACCAAATTTGGTAACTGAATGCAAATTGGCATTAAATTTATAAAACATATGTACTTTATTTAATTTTTGTTTAATATAGAAAGAAAGATCTTTATGTGTAATTCATCATCATAAATAAAAAAATATTTTGTTGTTTCTTTTTCAAGGTTTTAACTAGTCAAAAGTTTTTTATTTCTGAAGATAAAAAAAAATGAAGATTTTCGTAGGAATGCTTAAGCCAGATTTTTGATCTCAATTTGCCCATTCCAAATCTTTCATGATAAAATCACAAATTTATTTTAAACGATTTTGTTAGATTCTCAAAATTTTAGGCCAGCATTTGAAGATTTTTTGTTAAACCATGGTTTCTTTATATTACTTTATTAAATTAATTGACGACAGAGTTTAGATGATGAGGAATGTTATATGCTATAAGTCGTTTTTTTAATCAAGATATTTGCGATGATATGAATTTACTAACCCTATTAGTCTGAAGCGTCATTGTTTTAAATGGCTATAAATTGGCATTTTTTGTTTTATTGTAATAAGGTCTTATAAAAGTTTTAATAATTTAGTCTAGTTTTTTTTATAGGGTTGCTCAAAAATTAAAAATATTTAGGGGGGGGGGTTTGATGAATATTTTGGGGGTGCCCTTTCTTCGCCCTTCTCTTCAGACACTGATGATTGTAAATTTTTGAAAAGTTTTTCGGCCCGGCCTTTTCTTTTATAAAGGAGAAAATGACATAAATAATTATAGGCTTAAAGGATTTACGAAACAAAGGCCCGAAATTTCTTTTACCAGCAGGTGGCGCCTTCGAAAGCCGGACCGCGCCGATCTTTCCTATTTTTTTGATAAATTTTTTAGATAAAAATTATCTTTGGGGAAATTGACCACCGAAATGAAATTCAGAAAAAGCTCAAGTTGCAAAACTTAAAAACGCCTTACCACTCATTCTAAGTTAGCGTGAATTTGCGGCGGAGAATACAAAATTACAGAATATTTTGTATATTTCGCAGCGAATTTGCTTGTAAATGAGGAGTTACATGATTGAATTTATTTTTAAAAGAGCATTAATTATGTTATATAATTTCCAATAAATCATATTCGGTTACTCTAATGCTATCTATTTTAAATAATAATTTATAAGGGTCGACATATTGGCAACTTACTAAATAAACAATTATTAAAATAGAAGTATACAACACCCATTTTTTAATATATATATATATATCAGAGACCTGCAAAGGTGCTAATTGTACATTTTTAGACCCTGCCCATGTTTATTTTAAAAATTTTTTATTCTGAGCTTTGTTCCGAGGCCTGTTAACTTTAAACCATATCTTACTAACCTTACACTCTTTCCGTAAGTGAATTTTTCATGGAAATCAGACCTTCATTTTGATCGAGAATCAGTAGAATCAATTTCATATTGCAAAGCAACTTTTATTTATAAAAAAATCACCTAATATTATACCATTATAAATTAACTCCGACTGACTCATCTCTCATTTTTCATAAGGGTCGAAATAGCTTGCTGCACCTCAGTCAAGATCTTTAACTTTTGAGCCTCAGCTGCCATTCTAAAGATGAATATATATAATGATAATTATTAGTATTGTTTAATTTACTTTTATAAGTTACAATTTAGATCCTTAAAAAGTAACTAGAGTTACATTTTGACTGAAAATTAATCATTCAACTACCAGTTATTGCTTCTATTTTTTTTATTTTAACAACATTGTACAGATAAAGTTAAAACTAATAATATTACTATAGAATAACAAACAACACTTAATAGATTTTTAATCCAAAAATTCTTTGCCACTAAATAACGAAATTTTTTTTATACTAAATCAGGTGTAAATATACCGTCGTCAAATGGTGTCAATACCATAATTAATACTTTTATAAATTAAACCTAAACCTTATCCCCTCCCCCTAATTTTTAGTTATTTGTCCAAGACTTTTTCTATACCCAGTTTCTATGAAAATTAAAACAAAACTATTATTTTATAATGTTTTAATTTCAACTGTAACCCAAACCAGGCCTTAGTTTGGATCAAGAATCACTCATATTAAATATCTTGGATTTTACTGGGCCTATTTTTTTAAATTTTCGGAGGTAAGGTTCTGGAAAATTGTTTCGGGGTGATTTTTTATGTTTTTTTCCTATTTTTTTCTAAAAAAGATAGATTATATAACCTAGGGCTTTACTAGACATATTTCCCCCATTTCAGTTCCTTTAATATTAATGATATTCTATTTACGTTTCAATCGTCAGCCGAAAGTTTTAAAGAACGTGTTGAAAAAAAAAATTAAAAGAACTCGAATGTTAATTTTTTTTGAAATATAAATTAATTCATTATCTAGCGGATTCGGAAAATGATAATATTTTTTTGTGATAACAATAAATGGACGTTTATTTTTTCAATTTAAAAAGCATTTGTTACTTTATAAAATTAGAAATTTTCGTTTTTTTTATTAATTTCTTTTGGCTATTTGGTGAATAAAAATAATAATTTAGTATTAAAAAAACTGCTGATTCTTTTTAGTCAAATTCGTTTTTTTAAAAATAATAATATAGTATTAAAAAAACTGCTTATTATCCTTAATCAAATTTATATTTATTTTAAAAAAAAATAATAATTATGGACAAATTACTAATTATTGAAATAATTCCGGAACAAAATCTCAAATCGCGTTACCGTTTTCATTTTCCAAATCCCTAAATATATGAAAGCTAACATTGTTTTCGAATTTTAAATATTCAAACAAAAATTTACTATCCAATACGACTTGTTTTATATTTCTTCACCGCTATATCCTATAATTTTGAAAATAAAATTACGTGATAAAGCATAATACACGTCTATTTATCTTTATACAAATTTCACTAATTATTATCAATGTGGAGAGGTAGTGCCTGGAGTGCTGTTATTCAAAAGCACAATATAGGCCTATATGAACACCGTAAATCCAAAAGGCAAAGACCAGTTGCTATGAATAGAAGTTCAATTCGCATCATTAATAGATCGACTAAACATAATATTAGCAAACCCAGATGTCGGCATAAAAAAAGCAGCAATAGGAAAGATGAGCACTTAGAAACCATTTTATTAAATTCTCAATCTGCCGCAACTTCAGAATCTGAGTGGAATCTCGCAATTCTTAAGCAAATTTATAAATCCTACTGTTACAAGCGAATTAACGATTTTCGATATTTATTTTATAAGGTAATAAATATAATAATTCATTGTTTGAAAATAAAGCCAGTTTTAAACGCGGATTATACAAATGCTCATAACTATACTCAAATATTAAAAAAAATTTTTATAAACTCCAGGTCTACCCTATTTTTCAAAATAAAATATAAATTATATTTATTAATTAATCAATTGGAAAATCATTTATGTGAGCGTTTAATATTTATTTACTTCCCAAATTTTCAACTGCCCTTTGAGACAATATGTACAAAATGATTTTAAAAAAATAACATTTTAAAAATTTCCGCACCACCTTCTAGAATGATCAAAAATGAATTTAAAAAAATGGTCTAAACCGAGTATTAAGAAGAAGCTGGAATAAAATCCGGGCTGATCCTAAAATCTTGTCCTCTGCAGGTATTTAATTAAAATATTCTAAATTAGGTTTAAAAAAATCTTTAAATTGAAATTTTAAGGATAAGGATTAGTAAGTTAAATAAAATATTGTAGAAAAACTTGATTATCATCTTATTCAAGAACACCAAATGGTATCAGCATTGAAGATCACTTTCCAGCCGAAAACTTCCATTTTTTAAAAAAATTGTTGGTACCCGAATATCGATCGGACGTTCAGTTTTAATTAATTGCACAATTAGAGGTTAAACTAGGAAACTAGAGTTGTGCCGATATTAAATATCGGATCAGCACCGATATTTGGCATTTTTAAAATATCGAATCGAGCCGATAAGTTTCACTGATCTCCCCCTCCTCCCAAGGCTAGAGGAGCGATCACTAAGTAAATCCCTCACTAGCGCCTGACCTGGAGTATTTAAAGATAATAAAATTTTATTAAATTGTTATAAATTATTATAATATTTATTATTAAAAGAAAAGGTATCTGGGGGAGTCTATATTCTAATCAATATCAATTTTTTTATCAAAAAAATTATCTATTGTATTCTTTTTCATCTCAAACCATCAATTTTTTTATTCATCATAAGTTTATTTAACAATTTTTTTAAAAGAGTTATTATATGACCAAGCTTAAATTTTGAATTAATGATGGCCATCTAGAGTTATATTTAATTTGGGGAGTAATCAAGTAGAGAAATAGAGCTATTCTCTTAGCCAACAGAAAAAAAAGTATTCTTCTACGCTACCGTTACCAACTGTTAAAAGTAGTGCTGCTAAAAAAACTACAATAAGAAAAAAGGTAGTGCACCATTTACATAAATCGATTGTAAATATGGTTAAAATTTTTTTTTTTACTTTTCTCTATATTATTATAATGCATATAAACGATTATGCTTACAATGCGTCTAAAACGTCACGACTTCTTTATACTTTATCCCTTAATATTCTTCCTATTATTCTTTTTCTTCAGAAACATTACGATCTCTTAACGAGTCGAGGAAATCTCGCTGACTCCAAAACCCGAGTTAAATCTTCCCCTGAATTCTCCAGTCAAAGATATTCTCAAGGCATTAAAAATTACCCATCTCCTCCCAACTCCATATTACAACAACCCCTAGCAGATATTCTCAAAAATCAATCGGGTGAAATTTCATTCAGCTCTACCAAGCACATCCCTCTTAATAACAGAAGCCCAGTCACATTTCTCTCAGTAATCTAAAATTTCGATAATTCAATTAATGATAAGAAAGAAGGAAAGAAAGTGATAAACAATGAATTTATGATACATTTTTCTTAAATATGAAAGTTGTTATGTTAAATATGGTTTTTTGGCTAGTAAATTTCTAAACCTGAAAATGATTCTCATTTTTTATGGCAATTAATAAAATGCGCGAATACGCGCATTTTGTAAAAATAATGCTTTTTTTGCTAAGACATATATGTTTATATTGTTTACAAAAATATGCGAATTTTAATTGTTAGCGAAGACAAAGCCTAAATTTTATTTAGATAATAAAATAAGATATTACATTATGCTAAGTATTGTTAAACGGCTCGATTTCGCCAAATTTAATTAAAGATTTTATTTAACTTAATATTTGGCATGCCTTGAAATTTCTATTAATAGATATGTCCAAACCCTTCTAATCTATGAACAAAATTTCCAGGCTTGCCTAATATTTTTTGGCTAAAATATTAGGTTTGCTATTTTTAAATATCGAACCACTGAACAACCACTCATTTATGCATCATTTTTATCTTATAGTATTCTATTTTTTATAGAATTCCATTATTTTTTATAGGATACTAATTCAGAACTATTAATATCTGACTCCATTCAAAATGGTGGATCAAAAGAGTATATCAATATATCTAACGGACCTATCGAAGGCGATTCATCTGCCAATATATATTCAACGGAAGGTTCAAATCTTTCGCTGAGTATTATAGTATTCTATATCCATTTTTTTCGAAATTTGGAGAATATTTAAATTTTTTTTGAATAATTTCATTGTGGATTTGGAAGAATACGCTCAAGAATTGATTTATTGAAAAAATTTATTTTGAAAAAATATGTACATAGAACACTATAATACTCCGCCGACTAACTATTCATCTCACGTTTAATATTATATGTTTACCAGGAATGAATATAAGGTTACTACTTCTCGAGATCATATTTTTTTGTTTTGGTTTATAAAGTAATTCTTTGCCCAAATCTTTTTTTTTAACATTACAAATAAACAAATTAAAATGGTTATTCAACATTGCGGATAAACAAATGAAAATAGCTATTTAAGTTATATATATATACATATGTAACCTAACCCTTGTCATCTCATATATACTAATTTAACCTGGCCCATATCAAATTTAATATGGGTTAAGGCTGTACCATTATATTCTGGTGTTTGGTAAGTCATTATTATAAAATTTAAATGATACAAGTTATTAATTATAAGTTAAGCAAAATATTTACTTATTTTTATCTATACATTTTTATTAGCCATCTATTATTTTACCTAATTGATTAAAAGTTTAAACTTTTTGAAGAAGAGCCATTGAAAAAAGATATTGTTTGAAATTCATCAGCAATTAGTGATTAAGAGGATTTTTTCTAGAAGGAAAATAATAAAAGTTCAGTGTGTATATTTATTTTTAATTTTCGACTAATTACTTATAAACCTAATAGTAGAACAAAGTAATTTTACCCTCTTCGAAATTTCATTTGGTCATGTATTCCATATTATTTGAAAAAATGTTACTATCCAACTAATGCTTCCTCTCTTAAGGACAATAATACAGTAAATAATATTCTGATAAATCTTTTAATATCTGGGATGGCTATACATATATTTTGCCAGTTCATTTTCTTTTTGCATAAATATTATTTTGTTATATAAGTATACGTTCAAAAGTTAAAGAAATTATATCCAATGAGACATTCACCATGCATATCGGTTTCAAGTTTAGGTGTATATTTTCCTCTTCCCCACTGAAAGATGCTATATATAATACATCTGTTTTCCAATAATTTAAAATCGGTTTCTTGTATTTGTTTTGTGAGATCGTTATCTAATGTTAGACATTTCGTTGAATGAGTATTGTAGAGTTCTATATCCATTTTTTTTATAATTTTTCAGGAGACCATTTAAAAAAAATATATTTCTTTATAGGAGATTATTAAACTATAAAAACGCAAATTAAAGTATTATATAAAATTATATATTTTATTGGTCATATGGAAAGAATATATTACTGAAGAATTGATTTATCGAAAAAAAAACATTCTGCGAAAATGTGGATACAGAATAATATATGATACTCAGTCCACAATTTGTCATTTTGTTGTAGCCTTAATCCTTCATTAACTAGGCGAGGTTTTATATAATCTCACATCCTTTAAAATTACAGCAATTTTAATTTAGTTTTTACAAAAACAATTTTATTTTAAAACTAGATGATGAAAAGTTAGGGCCAGAAGAAGGCGAAGGTGATACGATATCTTGTTTATGCTCGGAACATCCCGGTAAGCTCTACCTTGACTTGATAATAAACAACAAGTCGTGTGATGAAGTCTTCCAGCTATTATTCACGAATTCGCATTTTTTCAGAAATATCCAGAAGGAAAGAAATACCAAGAGTATTAAATATTATATAACAAATTATTATATTATATGTCTATATACATCCTTTTTTTTAAAAGGGATCATAACTATTGTTCAGGGTATTTCCAAATTTTTAAGGAGGAATATTTTTAAAGCCAAAGATGATATCGTATTATAACGTTTAATTGTGGTAATGAGATAACTTATTATATGCACGTTTAGTCTATATGTTTGACAATGCTAATGATACCGCTGACCTTCATGTAACTTCACTTTGAGAAAATCAGCTGTACTTCTGCTATCCTGGTTGTTACTTCACTGATATTTTGCTTTTACAATGAATAAATATATAGATTTGTAATTCTCAACTTTTTCGAATTAATTATTCGAAAATCTAGATTTATATAAGTATTTTACCATTATCTCCATCTTCTTAATGTAGATTTAGCTGAAAAACATAGCAGGTCTTTAACAATATTTTTTTATCCTTCAATTCAAATTGGTCGACTGCATTCAGACGAGTTTAGGGATTAAATGAATTATTTTGTTTGCCAAATCGGGTCAAATTTTTTTCCATCTATAAAGCATTCTGAAGTTATTTGATTGACATCCATTACTATAAATGGCATTTCAAAATGTCATAGAATATATATTATTAATTAAAGATGACGAGAATCTAAATTTATTCAATTATGTTATAAATGAATAAAACAGATTGAGGGCTCATAAAATTATAAGTATTTAAAAGAAATGAAAAGCCCCCATCACTTATAAATACTTAAAGATCCTTTCCTGAGCAAAGTACATATTTTGGAGGCTTTAAAAGTTTGATCTTATATTAAATATGCATATATTAAGTAGTTTTCATCAAGTGTAAATCTGCGTTTCATAATATATTTTATATTTATAAAAAAATTACTTTATTATTATTTATTATCAATTCTTTATTTTGTATTCTTATTACGAATCCATAAGCACAGCATCTAATTAGAAATTATTAATTTTGAAATCAAAGTGGGACCGAAGTTGGAAAAACTTAAGAGGTGACGATATGATTTGGATTATATGCCATTTATAAATGATGGTGATTGATCATCTTTTAAATCTATGAGTTCATCATAGTGATTCATAATTTCTTTTGACTATATAGGAAGAGAGCAATTAAAAATATTACAAATGCGGCACTGATTGATTTTATTTTGATTTATAATAATATTCAGCGGAAGTGGCTAACAAACCTATAATTTCGTTTTATATATTTTTTATATATAATCAAGTTTATCCGGAAAAAAAAATTTTCAGGTCTAGTAATGTCGGAGTGGGGAAGTTCGAACGAAAATATGACATCGAATAAATTGTCCACCTCCCAACATCACAATCATAACCTTAATCATCATCACGAAAAATATTCCAAGCATCATATCGACTCTCACGCCAGCAAGAAAAAGAGAGTTTTGTCGTATGTCGTGGAAATCTCAAGTCCCTTAGGTACCAAATCAGCACCCACTACAGAGAAACAAGTGCCCTTTTTTGTTTGTTTTGAAAGGATAATCGATTACAATTTCTGGGAACCCACTAACAGCCGGCGGGTTAGCTTGGCTATATAGCTTCGACTAAACTGCCTAAAAATTATGGGAAAATAATACGAAAAATAACAATGCCACCAAACATTTAACATTACAAAATAGGGTGTCCTAGTTTAACAGCTTAGCCTAGGCTAAGCAAAAATAAATATAAAAAATAACTCGAACCAGGACACGGCCATACTGTTTGAAATGTTGTGCCATTTATTTTAGGGGGTTATTGTTTGCCTATTTTTTTGATAACTTTTAATTAACCCAAAATTTTTAACCCTGGAAACAGCTTTTAAATTTAAAGAACTATAAACTACTTTCTATAAATATTTAGAAACCGGAAGTAGAATCCTTTTTTAATTCAAATTTCAAACTCTGATTGAAAACCAAACTGGCAACTTATAAATATAGATCGGAGTATCAATCTTGTATTGCGATTTTATATGTTAGATGTTAGAAATCGATATTTTATACAAATTCAAAAATTATATTCTAATCTAGGAATTGTATCGATATATTTTATCCGAACCGATTTTTAGCCTTTTTCGAAAATATCGGCTGTTGGCCGATGTTAAATTTGCCGACATGTTCCGATTCAATGGCGTCTTCAATAAAAAAATTTTTTAATATTAAAAGATAATATATTTATATATAAGTTAAGAATAACGTTGTTAAATGGCTCATTTTGAGCCGATTTTTTATCGAGATTTCGTTAATAGATGTTCAAACCTTTATGCCACCTATGAGCAAAATCTTAAGGTTTGCATAATATTTTTCCTAATAAAATATTGAGTTATCCGTTTTTAAAAATCGGCTCAAAATGAGCCGTTTAACAACACTAGTATATAATTGAAAAATTATTTGAAAAAAAATATTTTTAACTTATCTCAAAAAAATAATAAAAATACATAAGGATGTTTGTTTATGATTTTAAAGAATTCTAACAATTTACATTGATCATAAATAGTAGTGTTGTTAAACCCCGATTTGGATCGATTTTCAAAAACACTCGATTAAGATTATATTATTATGTGGGCGAGATTTGGTAAATAGAAGTCCGAACCTTTCCGCCATCTATAAACAAAATCTCTAGGTTTACATAATATTATTTTGGCATATCTAATCGGGCCCCTTTTAAAGATCCACCCAAATCTGTTTTTCTAACAACACTAATAAAATAGACTAGTTGGAATTCTTTACTTTCTATGATGATAGCAAAACATTAAAACCATTTTATCTTACAAATGATCAATATTTATATTATTTTGCATTGATGAATAATTATAACTTAATAAATATAAAACGATAGGCTTAATAAAAATTTGACAGTTATTTTAAATGATTTATAATCGGCCAATATAAATTTAATATTGGATCGGATCTTCCTCCAAAAAAGTGGTATCAGTTACACCCCTAATTTAAGGCAAATTTATTGGTGTTAATAACGAACTTCAACAAAATAATAGTATAATTTCCTATTAATATTATTTATAATGTAATTTTGCTTGCAGATTTTAATCGTTGGTGGAGAAAGTTCTTTGAGAAAATGGCATAGAAGGAGGAGCAAAAGGTATCAATTACAATCCTTTATACTTTTATGCTTTATTTTTCTCTCAGTAAAAATTTGTTTTTAAAATTTAAATTTTACCATGATATAGATGTGATGGGCCATTGCTAATTCTACATACACTATTATCATTATTTTCTTGGTATTTAACTAAAATCACTATGCGACCAAAAATAATATATATGATTATATTACATGATTTCACTGTGACATAGGGTTGGTATACAACTCACTTCTTTACTTGTATTTTAAAAAGTTACTAGTAATTAATTACATGATTTTATTATTGTAAAATAATTTTATTTTGTATTAATTCTGAAATAATTTTTTTTATTAAAATTTAAGGAGGTATTGAAAATCTCTATATTTTTTTCTGCCCTGTTTAATAAATATTGATTTACTATTATGTTAACATTGATATTATTAATATTAATTTGGCTTATACATATTAATTCTGGCTTATATAAAAATATTTTCTTAATTTAAATTGTTAACATTAAAATTTGATTATAAGTTATACATTCAAAACAGAATATATTAAAATTATTATAAATTGAAAAATATTCATATGATAACACACATGATAAAATAAATTTTTAGTCAATTTAATATTGCTAATTTAACAATGGTTTATTTATGGAAACAGATGAAGTAATAAAATGGCATATTCAATTAATAACATTGCCTCCGGAATTATTTTTCCCTAGGTCATGTTTTTGATTATTATTTTATTTAATTATCCTATTATAACATTTATACTATTTATAATATTATTATCATCAAAAGTAAAATATCTACTTCGAGTGTAGCCAGGATTGATCCATGGATGGGGGGGGGTGTTTAAACATTAGTGTCTAATCACTATAGTAGCCAGCATAAATGGGAAAAATATTAGGAACAAAATTTACCCAAATTTATGATTAATAAGCAACTGAAACATTATTCTGAAAATTTTATCAATGTTTAATCAATTGTAAATTAATTATTCGGTTTAGAAAGAAAAAAAATTCGCCCTAAAACCTCCCATTTTTTATTCAATATATCTTATTCTTATGTTAAAAATATTTATTTTAATTAAATTTTAGTTTTGCTTATAAAAATTTTATGACTAAGAACATATTATAATCATATTTCAATTTTATGGTTTGAATTTATAAAGAGAGGTCTACTTTTCTCTGAGATTTGGCTAATTCATCTAGAATAATCTCCTTATAAATATTTAATATGGGAAATCCATTTAAACAGTTTTCACCAGTGCTATTTCTTAAATAGGTTTCAAACCTGTTCAAAGTTGGAAAAACCTTTCATTAGTGCAGGTACTAATCGGTAAGGTAGCTAAAATAAATAGCGATGTTTTGATATTAGGCAAGGAATCTAAAGTGCGATTACACCTGGAAAGGGTCTGCAAAGCATATTTAGTCTCAAAGAGTACTCTATTCTGTCAAGATATTTATATCAAAATTCGACATCACAAAATAACTTATCATAAGATCCTGATAAGTCATCAGAATAAAACTCTGAGATTTTTTTAATATTCTCTTGCGTTTCAAGTGTATTCAGACTCAACAGGCAAAAGATAATAAAAGCTCTTTAAAATAAAAATGTGAACAATAAATCTTTTCTTTAATTCAAATAAAAATGTATCAATAAGTGTAATAAAAATATTTATTTTATAAAAATCTTCAATCGTAGATGCATCAATATTTAAGCGATTGTACTGTCTAGAAACTATTCTAGGTTTAAAAATTTCAATCCCAAACATATTAGCTATATCCCTTTCTCATATTTACCAAATTAAATGATTTGTCTTTTATTTAAAAATTGTAAAAAATAAATTAAAATTTTTAAAACTATCTAATTAGTTTAACAATATACATTTTATTATTAAATTTATAAATATCTAATTTTACTATGCCAGAAAATATTAACAATATATCTATTGTTATTTAATATTTTATATATAATTTTTAATATATATTTTTAAACAATGTGATCATTTAAAATTGAAAATTCTTATTTGTTTTTTTAAATATATTTCATTTTGATTTCCTATATATTATTTTATTTCTAAATTGAAACCATTTTAAATAAAATTAAGGAAAAAAAATTATTTTTAATTAAAAAAAAATTCGGAAGTTATGGGGGGGGGAGTATCATCCTTAACCCCCCCCCCTTTGTTTTACGACACTGTCTACTTCTAAACCACTACATATGTACATGAAAAAAATGAACCAAATTTTTTTTAAAAGATTAATGCATAAAATTTCTTGATATTTTTTAAAAACAAAACAATAACTTGCATTTATTTTGAATATTCATACCAAGAATACCAAATCAAATTTATTGCTTGCTCACTATATTATATTCATATTATTTTTTTAAATCATCTACAGATCAAACATCAAATTGATTAATTTGTCATTTTTTACGTGGCTACAGCGCAATGATAAATATCCAAACTGACAATTTTTTACAAATCAGCTGGTGACAATCCATTTTCTTTCCTTAAAAGAAACTATTTACTTTAAATTTAAAATAAAAATCAGAGTTTCATTTATAATAAATGTTATTATATTCATAAACTAAAATGGCATGCCACCCGATGATTTGTATTGCTTCAAAATGCATATTACATGCCATTTCTGCAGCCATATAATTTTAATTTTTTTATTTATAAAAAATAAAAATCTAAATGCTACTTCTAATATCCATTCTCCTCTCAAAACAAATTTATAATAGATATGTTGTGGAATGTGAAGTAACGAATTCGGGAGTCCCTTACAGTGACGCTTATTACGTGATATGTAGATATTGCCTCACCCGGGTCGGGGGCGAGAAAGATTCAAAGGCGTGTAGACTAACTGTTCATTGTTTGATAGGATATAAAAAGAGCGTGTTTTCGCTCGTCAAGAGTAAGCCTTAATTGCATATTTATATTTTTAATTAAGAACTAAATATAATTTTTTACTTAAAATACTTCTAAGGACACATAATAACCCAAACTGGCCTTTCGTACCTTAGTTATAGGCTCATTCTTTATTGTTTTTTCAACAGATCGATTCTTACCTAAGGGTGGCAAATAATTTAGGAACGGGCCAGATAATAGCCTTAATCTTTTGAAGAAGTTATGATAATTTCGCAAAAATATAAATTTTTTGCTTGATAGCTATAATTGTGAAATTTTAAATCTGTTTTCTTTAGAAAAAAATATAAAATACTTTTATTATTATATTAATTTGAAAATTAGTAAAGTTATAAAAAATAGATATTTATAATTAAATTTATTTAGGTATCATCGAAAAAAATTGCCAATCCGGGCTACAAGATTATTTCAAGTTTTTAGGTAATAATTTTATTTCACTTTTAGTTAGCTTTACTTGTCATCACCCTTTAGTAGACCTATTTTAAAACGTAGTGTTGTTAAAGGGCTCGATTTGAGCCGATTTTTAAAAACGGCTAACTCAAAATTTTATCCAGAAAAACATTGTCCAAGCCTCGTTAATAGATGCTCAAACCTTTGTGTCACCCATGAGCAAAATTTTAAGGCTTGAACATATTTTTCATGAAATAATGAGTTAGCCGTTTTTAAAAAACGGCTCAAAATGAGCCATTTAACAACACTACTAAAATGAATACTTAAAAAACGAATAGTAAATTATCCTATTTGTTCCCGAGGAATTTATTATGAATTATTTATTGTTCATTTTAGGTTTACCTTTTAATATTGGTTTGAACTAGAGGCCTGAAAAACCTGACCCAACCTGAAACCCCAACCCACGGATTCGGATGGACCGTTATTTTTTTATTAGATGGGTTATTTTAGGTCTGGTTTTTGGAAATATTTTTGCTCTAATTCTAGATTTAATCGGTGATATCAAGAAATTAGGTCTAGAATATGTAAATAATATTATGTTCTGGTTGGGAAAATGCTTTTTTTCCTACAGGTCTGGTTGAAAAAATTTGTCTTGCAGGAATCTAGTTTTTAACTATAAGCCACCATTTTTCAGATAATGATATAAATCTAAATTTCGTACACGTACTAATAATAAAAAAATGTATTCGATTGATTACATTTTTTTCTAAATTGAGAAGTGAAAAAAATGAATTATTATATTACTGAATGTGAAGAACTTATTAAACACTTACGAATAATTTTTTACACATATTTTTTTCCATTATTCCTATTCGTAAAATACTAGTCGAATGCCTAATGACAAAATTCATTTTAGAAACCCATTATAACTTATGGGCTATTTAGCCGGTTATACTGTGTATATTTGTTTTGGCAATCAATACAATTTTATCTTCACCAATATTAAATGTATGCGCCCATATTGGCCTTTAAAAACAATCGGTAAGGATAATATAAGTATCGGATCGATTAAAATGTTAAATGATGTAGCCCTACTCATATTATTTATTATAATATTGGAGTTAGAGATCTGCAAAGTTAAGTCCGGCCCGAACGGGCTTTGGGCCAGGCTCGGGCCTAATTTTATATAAAATAATCGAGTTCGGGCCGGGCCTAATATTTTTAATCGGGCCGGGTTGAATCGGACTTGGAAATTTTAATAAATAAATCTAAATTTATCAATTTTATATTAAATTTTTTATGTAAAATAAAAAATTTTGATTTGATTTATTGAAACTAAACGCTATATAACATATGTCTTTTATTTTAAGTAATTATAAAAATTAATTTCTATATTTAAATAAATTCGGGCCTGGCCGGGCCTGTAAATTTTTTTAAAATAAATTTCGGGCCGGGCCGGCAAAACTTTTTAAAAAAATTTCGGGTTCGGGCCGGGCCGGCAAAACTTTATTAAAAAAATTCCGGGCCGGGCTTGAAAAACTAGGCCCGATGCAGATCACTAATTGTAGTTAAGCCAGGTCAGCAAGCACTTATATGAAAGTAAAATTAATTCATAACTTTTGATAAATCCATTTGGATTACAACAAAAAAATACCATTTAACCACAGGCAATAAACTAATCAGTGAACTGAGGGCAAAATCTATAACTAATGAGGTCTCAGACGATGTCGTTAGCCAAAGTAAAACCAATAAAATTCGAAAAGATCAGCAGGTCCCGAATGAACTAAGTGGTAACAAATCTAACAGAGCAACGAAAACTATTGACTCTGGAACACAAGATTCTAGAAGCTCCAAGAAAAAGTTTATATTAAATACTTTGCAATATTTATCAATAATGAGTGCTCATGAAGTAACATTTCAAACTTAATGGCAAAAATTTTATTTCCCATACAATATTTTATTATAAATTTTTTCACTGTTTTTTCTTTGAAATCCACCAATACTTTATTCCCATTAAGACACATGTCAAAAAGAAACAAGATGCTTCCTTTTTCTGGCAATGGCAACAAAAATTCTCAAGATGATTCTTTATCAGATGTTATAGGTAGATCATCAGGTGATATGGATGGAAGCAATCGAAGTGGACTAGTTGCCAAAAAAACGTATTCGAGGAGAAATAGAATATCAGGACCTAAGGATTCTTGTAGTAGTCTTGAGGATAAATCTCGCTCCCCTCTTTTTGCTATCCTACTATATGTGATAATGTATAATTCATTTTCTTTAACTTTTTTAAAACTTTTCCTTTATATCCATAAAAATGGCTTCGATTGATAAAGTTAGACCTCACCTAATTATGTTCGTGTTACCTAGATTTATCTAATTTGCAATTCGTTACTTACAAAAAGTACGTTATGCGACAAACGTTCATCTTAATAAAATACTGAATTTTTGAAGTTATTTATTTTCTTAAATTTTTTAGTTTTTAATATCCAAGGTGCTCTAGTTATGGTTGTAAACTTGTTTATTTTTTGGAAACTTCTTGTTTCTTTCTGTCTTTTATAACTTTAAATACACGACAAGTTTTAATTTATAAAATACTCTTTCGGTATCATGTCACTATTCTTAGTTTGATTTTTTTTGTTAGATTAGATATTTTACCGGAAAACTTGTGTGGAATTTTAGCTTAAACCTCTTATCCAAAATTATATAAAATGCATTTATTTTTGCAGGTTACTTTTATGCCTTTACGTCGTTTATCTTAACTACAAATTATGGCTTCTAGAAGATTTTATTATACGTTCGCAGGACAAAGGGAACGAATCATTTTACCAGTCCGAATTTAGGTTCATTTACATTTTTTTTTAAATTTTAATTTAATACTACTATTATAGTAAAAGCTATATATTCATTCGGGTCTCCTTAAAAAACTTTCAGAGTCATATCTGAACAAAATTTTTTAAATCAACTTCCGACTGACCCAATCAAAAGAGTGCTTGTCCAAAGTCTCTGACCGAACCGACATCGGATAAATCTTCTGAGCTTTGTATTCTGGCCTCTTTTTAGGTCTGGACCAGCCATAACTTTCAGACTCCTATCTGATCAAATTTTGAGATCAAAGTCCGGCCGACGAACCGAGTTCAAAGAGTGCCTGTCCGAGGTGACTGACCCATATCACCGAGGGCAAATCCTTTCCGAGCTTTATGCACTGTAGTAATTATTAAAAGTCAATGTCCACATATTGTGTATATTTCATTTCATCAATTTAAAAATTTAAGATAGATAATATTCTTTATTAAATTTACACAATTCAATACATGAAATAAATCATCATCCAAAATGAATAATACAACTTGAAATTATCTCTCCTGAAAATTATCTGTTTTTTTAAATAAATAATATAACAATTATCAAAATTACAAAGTAAAGTAGTCATTAAAAAAAACACATATTATTGACTGTAAACAAAAATAGTAAATTATATTGCTTTAATCCATGCGCGTACGCAGGAATTTGGTGTAAGGGGGGGGGGAATTAAATTTTTTAAAATAAAATTATTGTTATTTAAAAATATTAAGCATGAATTTATTTGAACTAATAACTATTTCTAATATACATATTTAAATTAATATGAATTATAAAAAATTAAATATATAAACCGGTATATAAAAATAAATTTGAATTAAAAAATATTAAACGGATATAACCGGCGGCATATAAATACTTTAAATAAATCTGAATTATAAAATATTAAGTGGATATAACCAGGATATGAATGACTATAAAATAAATAATCCATAATAGAAATTTAAATTTTTTGAGCCTTTAAAATTTATATATAAAGTATAAAAAATTTAAATGTTGAATATGAATAATTTAATTTTTTATGTAAAAAAAATATAAGACTTTAAAAAATGATTGCACAAAATATATTATAGAAACATTATATTATAATGTAAAATCCAATCTTCGTTTAGATTGAGCTAATTTTTCAATTATCTCATCCGTGCTTGGCGTCAAATGCCTATGAATATTCAAAAGGGCTAGACCATTCAATCTACTTTCAAAAGTTGTACTTTTAGGTACGTTTTTAATCTTCTTAAAGAGAATGTTCTCTCATTAGTTGCAGTACTAATGGGAAGAGTTGTTAATATATATAATAATTTCAATATATTGGGGAAATAATCTAAAAGATGTTTGAAACGATGCCATTTTTTGGGACTATATCAACCATATTTAATCTTTTATACCATAGCTGGCATTCAGCTAATAAAGCATCACGAGATACATTAACGTCTTCATGATAAAAATTCAAATATTTTATTTTTTTTCTATCACCACCTGAAAAAGGTTCAGAGGTATTTTGCGGAAGTAATATCTGCAGATTGGTAAGTGCATCTAGATGAATTAAAAACCGTTCATTTATTTGGGTTAGAAATGTATCCAAAAGAGGTATAAAGACATTTATTTTATAATATTCTTCTATTGACCCTATATATTTGGACGATTAGCTTGCCTTGCTGCAAGTCGAGGGAGACAAATAATGAACTCGTATAGCTTTGCTTTTGATTCAACAATAACATATAAAATATGAAATTCCTCATCAGCATTAGTTCTAATTTCCTTGAGTTCTAAAAAATTGTCTCTGCTATTCTCATCATCTCAATCAAATCAATGTCAGATTTTTGAAAAGTATTACATAAAATAGTTGTATAATTAAATAATTTATTAATCCCCCTTTTGAATTGATTCTTTTGACAAAATCATCAGTTCACAGCTTTTGTGATAATTTGTTTTCTGATGATTGTCAAAAATTTCCCCCGCATCTTTGTATTTGTTGAAAGGAGTCTTAACAAGAGTTTTAAGCTTAACTAGATTTCTGCCAGAATATCGTGGTCCAAACAGGACACACATCTTGTAATAAGCTCCACTGTCTCGGATGGAGTATGCTAGCCATAACCATCTAGTAAAATAGCTATTTTGAAATTTTAACTTTCGATTAGCACATAAAGTTTGGGGATATCAAAAATTGAGGGGTGGAATATAAATCTATTATTAAATAAAATATTTATCATAGGTATCTTTAATATATACCTTTTTAAGAAGTATGTGTCTTTCTTCTAGGCGAATATTATCTTTATCTAAAAAATTGGATATATCATATGGATGATCATTGTACTCTAGTTTTGTATAAAGATTTTAGTTTTAAGTTTATGTCTAAATATTGAAATGTAAATTAAAATTATTTTAAAAAAAATTATTGCTGCACATTGTTGCAATCTCATTCTTTTTCTAAATTAACTATCTAAAATTATTATACTAGCTAAGTTATTATAAAACTGCTTAAATGTATTTTTAGAATAACTAACCTTAAGATGGCTCTATATCCTGACTCTCAATTATTCTTTCAGCAATTCTTTCATTATTTTCTATTATGGGAGGGGTTTTAATTGTTAAAAATATTTTAAAATTAAAATTTTATTAAATTATTATACTATACTTTTTTGCTTGTTGGTATGATTTTCACTATCTTCAGTGTTTTTTAAAAAAAGTCTAATATCCATGACTAGAAATTTGAAATTGGTGAAAAAATATAATACCGGAAATTTTAAAAATAATAGATAAATATTACGCCAAGGAAAACTTTAAAATGAAATTAATTGATAAAATTAATTAGTAAATGAAAAAGGTAAAAATATAAAAATTTAAAAAGAATGATATATGAATAAATATAATAAAATATAAATGAATACAAACAATAATATTTTTGAAAAATATATTCGGCATCTAAATTTTTTTTTTGGGGGGGGGGGGATTTTGTCTCCCCCCCGCTGCGTACACCATTGCTTTAATCGGAATAAATTTTTACGAGTAAATGTCCATAAATGTCATTATCTAACTGACACTTGTAAGAGTAATAATTATTTATTTAGATGTAATTCTTTCTTTCTTTCTTATAATTTCAATATTTTCCGAGAGTCGTGTATTAATTTAATCTAACTTTTATAAGATTAAATTTCGGGTTTATGAATTCAAATATAGAGTATTAATTATCTGTATCGTCACTAGCCTATACAAACTAAGGGGGATCAATAATTAATATTTTTTTTTGAAATTGAAAATGATTTTAGCTAACATTTTCAATTAGATCTTTTTTAAATATATTTTAAAAAATTCTCAGGGATGGGAGGTCGTCATATTTTTCAAGGGCAATGGGCCTTTATGCGTCCCACCCTTAGTGATGCTACTGTTAATTATCTTCATATTATGTATATAAAAACTACCTTTTATTGATAAGTGATTGTCTTTGTATTAGTATTTTTTAAAAAAATCTTATGTTTTTGTTATAAGTTCTCACACAATGCTAAATAAGAGTAAAATTAATAGAGCCAACAAACATAATCAAAACTTATTTAATCGGTGGGCTTTTTTTATGACTATTTTCTTATTTCCCATGGGTTAAGTAAGTGGTTTTGCCTCTTGCGTGCATAGATAACTGCGGCCTGCCAACAAAACGTAGATGGTCCTCTTAATTATTTCCCCTCATTTTTTTTATCCCAGTATGATAAGATTTTTTTGAGAGAACCAAGCGTTGCTCTATTGTATATACAACTCTTATTCCTTACATATGGCTAGTCGTTAATATAACATGATTACAATTTTTCTTTAAAAAAATCTAGGTCTACATTTATTGTTCCATTGAAATCCGCGTCTTTCATAACGTTTATAACTACCGTATGGTCGGCAGCCATATATCTTCCCAAAACGTTTCTCTCTCATTTTGCATCTTATATTTATGATCATGGATTTTACAAAAGAAATTCGCTCAACAATTTATCGGATGAAGAAATGGCAAAAGGCATTGTATTGTTTTCTCAACTACTTAAACAGGTTTGTTTTGAAAAATGATATTGCGATTAAAATCAAACTAATTTTTATTTCTATGCCTTGATTAGAAATTACGTGATAAATTAATTTTTGGTTAAAATTCTTTACTTTATAGACTTGACTTTTAGATAATCTTTTTTTATACATACTAGATGGAGGAATCGATTATCAATTTGCAAAGACATTTTAACGATACTCATAAGTTCACTTGAACACGCACGAAAAAACGAAACCTAATTATGTTAAAATAATATTTTTACTATTTTTCTAATATTTATTTAAACAAAACAATTCTTTTTCGTGTTCATACTCCTTTTTTTTATAACAAATTTTATACATTTTTAACTGAATTTAAATTCGTTAATTGATATATTCATTTCCTTTATAATGAATATATAAATCTTTCATATCCTCTAACTATTTTTTACCATGTTTACAATGTTGTTACATTTATATAAAAATTATAAATGTCAACTTTTTAGGTTCCAAAATCAAAATTAAAAGAATTAGGTTATTTTGCAATAACTCCATAATTATTAAATAATCTAGAATAATTTCATAATATATGACTGTTTTAATAAAATTTAAATTATCATATTTTTCTAAAATAAAAATTAATAAAATATTTATTTTTTTCTATATTTAAAGGTGTTATTAAATTATAAAATTATAATCATATTTTTGATACAAGAATGCTAACATGATATGTAAATTATATTGTGATTTTATTGTTAATCGAACATTTTGAATATAATATATACCAAATCGCAATAAATTTATTGACAAATATATTTTTATCCTTCTTAGAAAGATACCTTTCTCTGATTCCATCTAACAAATGATGGTTTTTTTGAAAGATTTCAGTGTTAATTTTCTATAAGCATTTTTTTAAAGAATGATAATATGACTGTAAATCTTGCAGTGACGAGAACCCTCCTTCTAAAAAAATGGGTTTGGGTTCAGTGAAAAATCTCAAAACCCGTTTCGGGTTCAGGTTGGTTCAGGGTTCGGAGATCAGAAAAATAATGACGCATTAAAATTAGTTAAAATAATAGAAACATGATTATTTTTAAAAAAATTTTTACGAAAAATGGCCGACTCTTAAATATAACAAAAAAAAATTTAATAATTTTTTGAATAAAATAACTATTGTTTTAAATAAGAACTCTTTTTAGGAAATCTTTTATAAATAAAAATCGAAAATTACATGTTTTTTATATTTTAATTTAAAATAAATAAAATAAGTTCAAAATAAATTTTTTAAAATTATAAATTGGCTTGAACCTTGAACCCTTAATTTAAAAAGGGTTTGGGTTCAGCTAAATATCGAGGGTTTGGGTTCGGGTTCTCGTCCCTGCTTAAAAGTAATGACGAATCCTTAAATCGATAAATCAATACTCCTAGTAGTAAGATAAATTCAATGGCATTAATACTAAACTAGACTGACGATTCATTTATTCATTAAAAAAAATGTATTAAAAAGTGTACATATTTTAAACCCGTCATTGAAAATACAGTAACTAATAATTCAATTCATAGGCGTAGCCAAGATTTTCCTAAGGAAATGGAAGGGGGGGGGGGGGGTGAATAATAAATTTCAGATTCTGCCCGCTTTTGCCCGGGGTCCGTCCTATACAAAGCTAGAAAATATTTTTATAGGATGAAGGGTTAATTTTAATCAAAACAATTTCTCATTATTTAACATCTACGAAATTGGTTACCAAAAGATGACATCAATTAGTTTATATAAATTATAATAAAATTCTTATATATACATATTACCAGGGATGTGAACTTACGTATTGTGGTTTTACTTACTCTGACCCGGTTTTAAAAGTGGAGGGTCCAAGTGTTCTAGGTGTCATAAAAAAAAATTAAAAATAAAAATATTTTTTTAAAAAATAATATAAATTTTTTAAAATTTTATTAACTTTTTTCGTAAAATCATTTATCTACAGGTTTTTCTTTCAATTTTCTTCCTGGACTTCCATTTTATTTAGAGATTGATATCAGAAATTATTTTCTAGTGTAGGTAATTTTTGAAAAATAATTTAAAAAAATATAAATAAGCCCTTTATTTTTACTCTCAACCCTTTGCTCACAAAAATATATCAATCCAAAATAATCCTTTCTAATAATATTAAATAAATATAATAAACTTTACTACAATTCATCTTTATTCATGTATTTATAACATATAAACATATTAAATCTTCCCCAATCAATCCCGTCTTCAAAATCTCCACTCCAAATCCAAACAAAGAATGTTCTTTTCTAACAACAACCCATGTGATAATTTCGTTTTCCTCCCATCCACCAGGAAACTAATTTCCCTGTCAGAAAATAACTGACATTTGATGTATTATATTAAATTTATTTCTTCTTTTTTTCAACAGCTACAACACGTCCACCCTTCACAAGCCCAGCGTCCCTCTCTCTGTGGTGGTGTTGTATCGAATCGCCCCTTTGAATTGTATCGGGGCGCCTTGAAGACGTTCAGTGAATTTATCGAATCTTTTCCCCTTATGATGATTTATAATATAATATCTCCGATACATTTCAATATATAATCGCGAAAACACATATTATCAATAATGACATGTACATTGGGGTATCTGCATTTATAATCTATGGAACATTAATATGGACTATGTAATATCAGCAAAACATAATAATTCATTTATTTTAAGACATTTGAGAAATAGGATCTATAATATACATCATTTGGTTATGATTAATGGTAATTAGGAAATAATGATTTTACATATAATACTGTAATGTGAACACATGGTCTGTGTGTGAAATGCAATTTCAACACATGTAATAATTGTCCTTCTGTCATGTAAACAAAATCAAAGCTACATTTTAATACCTTAAATCGATATAAAAATCCATTTTTAGGTATTAAAAATAATTGTGAAAATTTGCTTAACAAAGATTTTAAATAAAATACAAGACATATATATATAGAAATAAATATAATATTTTATAGGGAGGAAAAATATATAATATGTAGAAAATACAATATTTTCCATCTAGGAATTACTCAGTATCCTAAGAAAAATATACCATTTCTACCTAACTCTGCCATCACAATTAGCACAAATTCACAAAAATGTGAATGCAAGTAACAAAAATTGAGAATATAATGGGCTATATGGTATATATGTAAAGAATTTTTAATATACCTTCACAATATAAAATAATTTGAGTCTTTTTTTTTAAAAAAAATGTTCATAAAATAAATATTAAATAGTGATGTGCTATAAAATTATTACAAAGATAAAAAAAAAATATAATACGCAGCATAAATTTACAAAAAAAAATTTACCTAAAAAAAAATATTTTCCCTTTACACCATTGTATACCATAAAAATAATATAATAATTGCAAATAAAACCTTTTATAAAATTTTATAATTTAAAAAAATATATGTTAAATATAGAGATTTCATAATTTTTAAAAAAAATATTACACATCATCTAATATATCATATAAATCCCTACCCAATTTATATATATATCAAATGCAGACACTAAATCAAAATTATCCACATCTAACATTATAGATATTATTCTGACTTCATCATACTTCAATTCCTTTAAATTATCATTCATAATTAAATATATCATATGTGTAATTCACATTACATATTTCATAAAAATGGTTAATTATTTAAAAATAAACAACATTAACTCACCCTCAATAGATCCCTTAATAACATATCAACCTTAATTGAAACGGAATTAAATATACAATATATTAACATTAATTAATAATAAATTATCCCACACATGTCCATCCCTTTAAAAACCCAAAATGCATAATTATATAACACATACTTTATTGCAAAAGTTTCTATATATATTTTCATAAATTTCAAATATTTAAATATTTAGCAATCCTCTGTCCTGCTGATCTTGAGGTCTTATCTTCCTATGACGGAATACCTATAACACCATTCAATGAGTCTTAAGGCGTACCAAATAATAAGACAATACTATTGTCAAACGTTGGATGTAAAATATACATCTAGACATATAATACCACAAATATTATTAAATGGCCAAAGTGAATCAAATATCATTAACCAATAATTAATCATTTTATTTTAATTTTCAATCCTAATACTCATTACATACTTTCTATCTTATGCTTTGTAAGCTAAATATTTAAGATAAAATTATAGAAACCCTTAAACTCACCACTTAATCTCACTTACCCCTGTATAGTTTTTATTACTTGCGTTGGGGTTTCACAGTAAAATTCAAAATTATATGAAAAAATGGTTCTTACCTTTTTATAACGAATAACTCTTGAATCTCCAGGTTCTTATCCTGGGAATACGGTCAACATTTTCGAAAAAATAATTTAAAAAAATATAAATAAGCCCTTTACTCTTACTCTCAACCCTTTGATCACAAAAATATATCAATCCAAAATAATCCTTTCTAATAATATAAATAAATATAATAAACTTTACTACAATTCATCTTTATTCATGTATATATAACATATAAACATATTAAATCTTCCCCAATCTATCCCGTCTTCAAAATCTCCACTCCAAATCCAAACAAAGAATGTTCTTTTCTAACAACAACCCATGTGATAATTTCGTTTTCCTCCCATCCACCAGGAAAACTAATTTCCCAGTCAGAAAATAACTGACATTTGATGTATTATATTAAATTTCTTCTTTTTTTCAACAGCTACAACAGTAATAATATTTTTATGTAAATTTATATTAGCCATTAATGATTGCCTAAAAAATAATCACTTTAAAACTATCATTTATAAAGCAAGGGATGTTGCAAAATATTTAAGAACTCCCACAATTGTAAATATGTAAATCAATGAAAAGGTCAATTTCAATATTAGATTTCAAACACGTTGGTCCTCAATATGTATTATGCTAGAACGATTGTTAAGTTTGAAAGATTTCTCTACTGATTTTATTATAGATATGTGAAGTCTTTTTTTCGGAAATAACAACATTAAATTTACAATCAGAACAATTATGTTTATCTGGTTTTTATGGCATATGGATTATGTCTTTTTTTCATACGAAATATTAGAAAACATGAAAATTCGAGAACAAATTTGAAATAGTGTTGCATACGCTTCTAAATATTTAGACCCACGATATCAAGTTTTATTAAGTATTGAGCAGAAACAAATGGCTAAAGACCATCTTAAGGATTTATGGGCAAAACTCAGTTATTTGCAATATATAGGAGCCTATGACAACACCTACTGGTTGTAGTGATAATAATGATAGCTGTTAGCGGCAATGTATACATTGCCTGAATTTTTTCGGCATTGTGAGGTAGTGGTAGGCAGAGTGATTTTGTTATTTCGGCAATCATTGCCGGGATATTTTTTTTTAATATATATTTTTAAAAATATTTCCTACATAAATTATTTCTTGATACATCTTTTAATCGCTAAATATTTTTTATTTTTTGTGTTATATGATTCTTTTAATAAATTTTTTGAGATAATATATTTTTTGATTGATATTTTTTTTTAATATATATTTTTAAAATGATTTTTATATATTTATTCTTTACGTAATTTTTTCTATTATATATCTTTTATCGCTAATTTTTTAGGAAAAAGTGACAAATGTCATACGTTATTTTTAAACTTTTTTGAGTTTTTTTAAAGTAAATAGGTAAA